CAACAAACAACAATTCATTACTGGTATCGGCTCCATAAGTTCATCAGCTTCAAGTTCATTCTCAGCATCTATTTCTTCACGATTTTGTGTCCATGAAGTGACTGCTGTCTTACATTCATTATCTACAATAGTAAATGTATTACCCTCCCATAGGATTGAACGGAGCGACATTATGTTGCCAAGACACATTATGGACGAACTTGCTGATCCAAAATTCGATGAACCAGGCAGTATTGATATATTGCTTGGGTCAGAAATATTTTTCGACATTTTGGGCACTGAAAAATGGCCACTTACAGAAACGGCTTCGTTACGCAGCACCGATTTTGGCTGGATAGTCGTAGGAAAAATGCCTATTAAGTTCAGTCAAGTCAAGCATATATCAAACGCTGTGTCTTCAAGTTCATCCTTGTCTTTATTTACCTCAGTAGCTGTACAGAAAACAGCCAATGAACAAAAGGCAGAAGCGCATTTTTTATCAACAGTGGCACGAGACAAAAACGGCAGATTTGTTGTGAAGCTACCGTTTGCCCAGGATCCACAAGCATTAGGCGACTCACGAAACATGGCCCAAAAGCGATTCTCAAATCTAGAAAGACGTTTTGCAAAGGACCCAAGTCTCGCAAACGAATATAAGGCATTCATGGCCGAGTACCTCGAGATGGATCATATGGAAGTCGCCACCAACACTACCAATCCATGTTATTACTTACCTCATCACGCTGTGTTGAAGGCGAATAGCCTAACCACCAAACTTAGAGTAGTATTTGATGGATCAGCTGCATCAAACTCAGGGTTATCATTAAACGACATTTTGTTAAAGGGACCAAAATCCCAACCGGATATCATCAACATATTATTGCGGTTCCGTGTCCACAATATTGCAATCACAGCAGATGTGGAAAAAATGTACAGGCAGGTGCGAGTGGCAGATGAAGACTGTGACTTCCAGCGTATATGTTATCGTGCTAATCCACATGATCAGTTGACAGAATATAAACTGAAGACTGTAACATACGGTACCAAAGCCGCCTCATTTTTAGCTACTCGGTGTCTCACTAAAGTCGCTGATGAAGTGAATGATGCCTCAATTAGGAGAATCATTTCTCAGGACTTTTATGTGGACGATCTGATAAGTGGTGGAGAGTCAATAGAAGCAGTGCACAATATCTACCGCCAGCTGCATTCTACTCTAATGCAATATGGATTTCCACTCCGAAAGTGGTGTTCAAGCTCCCGCCAACTTATTGATCTCATACCACAACAACAAAGCGACAGCAATTTTCTCATAAACATGAGCGAGGATGACACAATAGGGACATTGGGTCTTCTATGGCAACCAGCATCAGACAATTTTCTATTTCTAGTTAAACAATGGTGTCCAGTAGCCAGAATGACAAAACGATCTCTTTTATCTGACATCAGTAAGGTGTTTGATCCAATTGGTTTGTTGTCTCCCGTGTTAATCAGAGGAAAAATTTTCTTGCAGCAATTGTGGTCATTAAAAATCAGCTGGGATGATGTGCTCTCTGAAGATTTACAAAATCGTTGGACAAAATTTTATACTAGTTTGCAGTACTTAAATCAGGTGATCGTTCCAAGGAAGGTCATGATGTCTCCTTCGTCAAACATTCAGCTCCATGCCTTTAGTGATGCTTCCCAAGAAGCATTCGGAGCTTGTGTTTATATGCGTTCAATGAAATCTGATGGCAGTATTGACGTTCGATTATACACCTCAAAGTCCAGAGTAGCCCCTATGAAACCATCAACTATTCCGAGATTGGAATTATGCGGAGCATTATTAGCAGCAGAACTCGCCAATGACACATCAGCTGAACTCAAAGCGCTAAATGTCAATGTGCCACCAATCGATGTATACTTATGGTCAGACTCTTCTATAGTAATTGCTTGGATACAGAGCCAGTCTCTATTTTCGGCTTATATATCAAACAGGCTTGCTCGAATCCTTGACGTTTCGTCTCCTGACCAGTGGCATCACGTGCCTACGAAGGAAAACCCAGCAGACTTAATTTCTCGGGGGATTGATGCTGCATCCATTTCACAGTCGAAATTGTGGTGGCATGGACCCTATTGGCTGATGCAAGGAAAAGGCAGGTGGCCTAACAGCTATCAAACACCAGATACCCTTCCTGAAGTTCGTGCAGTAAAGCTGGTACTCACAGCATCAGATACACCTGCACCTTGGTTGTTAGAGAAATACTCAAGTTGGTCAACATTGCTTAGAATTACAGCTTTAGTACAGCGCTTTATCAATAATTGCAAATTTTCGCTTTTAAACAAACGCGATAGACGTACAGTTGGCTTTTTAACCATCACAGAAATTGCAGATGCTGAACGATTCTGGGTAACTAATGCTCAAATCAGCGCATTTGATGATGAGTTGTCTTCTTTAAAGGCAGGTAAGCTGGTACGTCGTTGTAGTCCACTATTCAGACTAAGTCCATTTATCGATGAACATGGAGTGATAAGAGTAGGTGGTCGCCTGGTGAACTCGCCCATAAGTTATGACTCAAGGCATCCAATGGTATTGCCTTCAAAAAGCATGGTAACCAAGATGATCTTCAATTATGAGCATCGTCGCTTAATGCATGCTGGCCCTCAAGCATTACTTGCTCATGTGTCACGAAAGTACTGGCCTCTTAGAGGAAGAGAAATCGCTAGAAAAACAGTCCATCATTGTTTACAATGTTTCCGCACAAAGCCGATATTCCTCTCGCCAGTGATGGCCCCGTTACCACGTGAAAGAGTCACCATTAGTCGGGCATTCTCGAAAACAGGAGTGGACTATTGTGGCCCCATCATGGTGAGAAGTGGACTTAGAAGAGTCACACCAAAAAAAAGTTACATATGCGTGTTTGTATGTATGGTAACAAGAGCAATACATTTAGAATTGGTTTCCTCATTAACAACAGAAGACTTTCTTGCCACACTCTCCCGTTTCATGGCTCGGCGAGGACAAATTTCAGTGCTGTATAGTGACAATGGCACAAATTTTGTTGGTGCTGATCGAGCATTACAATCTCAATTTAAAGCACATAAAAAAGACAAAGCTGTAAATGACTACTTAAGCATTAACGCCATCCAGTGGAAATTCATACCAGCAGCAGCGCCTCACTTCGGAGGCCTGTGGGAAGCGGCAGTCCAATCAGCAAAGCGGCATTTATATCGAGTATCAAAGGGAGTGTTATTAACCTATGACGAAACCACGACGTTACTTTGCAAGGTAGAGGCCGCATTAAACTCAAGGCCCTTGACACCTATGTCGTCAGATCCTGGTGATTTAAACGTATTAACACCTGGGCATTTCCTGGTCGGTGGCCCTTTAATGTTGCCTCCTGAACCTGACCACTCGACAGTTCCTCAAAACCGATTGCGCAGATTCAAGCTTATGCAAGCACAATTTCAAATATTTTGGAAGCGATGGCTGTCAGAGTACCTGCCCCAATGTCAAAGGAAGGGAAAATGGCTAAAAAGAACTCGAAGTGCTGTGGTCGGCGACATTGCAATATTAAAAAACGAATTGTTACCACCGTTACAATGGCCTCTGGTCCGGATAACAGAGATTCATCCAGGGCGAGACGGTATTGTTAGAGCAGTCACTGTGCGCAACTCTGCGGGTCAATTATTCAGCCGTCCAGTGGTGAAGTTGGCATTTCTACCAACACCTGAAGATGAGAATCAGGATACAGCTGTCTAGTCATTGTTAAAAAAAATTGTTCTAAAATAATTATGGTTTTTTTTTTTTTTTTTTTTTTTATAAATCATGGTTTTGTTTAATTTTTTTTATATATTTATACACACTTGTATTATGCAGTTTTGAAAGGCCTTATCCTTTCAAAAGGGGGGTATATGTTCGCGCCATTGAGCAGCGTGAACAAATGTTGTGCCACAGCTGCGCACATTGTCTCCCTGCCAGCTGTGATACTAGCGGTCGCTCTTATCAGGCTGCGTAGCCGTATCAGTTATCGTTGTTATCCGTCGTGTGATTGTTAACCGTTTTTGTAAGTTTAAAAACGGTTTATCGTGAATTTATTTTATTGTCCCTCACTTCATATTTGAAACTTTTCGTCTTGTTCGTAATATGTCATTCGTTTTCTTTTTCTTCTTTCGCCGGCACTCGAGCTGTGAGGTGTTCCAGCCAGTGTCAATACATTCAATATAACCAGTACTTTATACAGCAGGCACAAGGTACAAAGTACAAAAACCGTGTGGCCCTAGCTTGTTACACATTAATATTTTATTCGTCTCTTTTTCAATTCGTGTCTAATTTCATCGTTGTTTTTTCGTTCATGTTTCCTGTTCTGTGATTTGCTTCTGTAAGTATCGTTCGTAGTCACTACATTGTGCAATTCTAATATTATTTTCCCCATTCAGGGCGTTCAGAGACATACTTATAGAAGCACGTGATTTGTTCGTTTTGGTGAATTGCATGTTCAGTGAATTAAGCGTCTGATCTGGTGGCTTGTTAGTCGCACGTTCTCGGGGTTGTCACATATTTTAGTATTACATTGTATTATTTTTATTGTAAAAATTAGTGCATCCCGAGACGGTAGCGTTCTGGTTTGAAGCCGCTAACGAACGCCAGATCCCAGGTAACAGGCTGACGAGCCTCATATTATTATTTACACATTATTATATATTTTACGCCAGTAGGGCTACCTATTATTTTCATTATACATTTATTATTGTGTTGAGCCAGTAGGGCTACCTATTATTTTCATTATACATTTATTATTGTGTTGAGCCAGCAGGGCTACCTATTATTTTTATGGCACATTATTATATTGTTGAGCCAACAAGGCTACTTAGTCATTTATATTATTTTGTTATTCTTTCTTTGTAAAAATAAAGTTACCATTATCAAAAGTTGCTTCTTGATTAATTTTATATTTATTTTTTATTGCTGTATGATAATTTAGAGCAGTGCAACTCAGATTGCAACAGCGTAAAGGCACATCTGTTCCTTTAAGGCGCAGAGGCTAGGTGCGCTCAGACAGATAGTTTACTGACCTTTTTGTATGATTTGAAATAAGCTCTTCTAGTGTTTTGTCGTACTTACTGAGTAATTCAATGATATCCAAAAATACGCCACTTCCCTGTACTCCAATTTCTGACGTTGAGCCTCGTAATGCTAAATTGTTTTTAGCACAAAATAAAATCGAATTTAAAATCGCTCGAAGGATGTGACGCCACCGCTCTTTTTCTAAGAAAATTGCGTTTTGCAATGATTTATCAATACTTTGTGAGTTTTTCAATCTAGCTTCTAAGGTCTTCCATTGAAAAAAGTATTTTCGATGATCTGGTGAAGTTTCGTGATCTTCAATTCTATTTATATTTTTCCAATCAGAAAACCCTTCTTGACGATTAGCAATCAAAGGTATCTGACTTTGTCGATATTCAAACAGGCAACAAGGAAAACAGAACAAAGCATTTTTATTCTTGGAGTAAATTAACCAATTACGGTCTATGGTTTCACTGTTGGGTAACTGTTTCTTGAACCAATGAGGAAGAAATCGACGTCCATCTTTTGTTTGAATACTTCTAAAATCGATATTTTTACCCTGATCCGGGCCATGCAAAATCAAAGTTATTCTCAAGCCATCTGTCATATGTACCCATGATGGAGGATTGTTGTAATCGATACTGTGTTGTTGAGTAACAGAAATTATCTTCGAATGACTTGATTCAACATTTTCGTTGCTATCAGAAATTTCTAAAATTGGCGTTATACTCGATATCTCCATCATATTGTTCGATGACTCTGTGATATTTGATTTATCTTTATCAGATATCGCAGTTAATTTCGATAATTTTGATTCGTTTGGTTTAGTATCAATTTTCATGGTCGTATCATTCAACGGTTCTGGATTATTTAAGTTGTTATTTTTTTTAGAGGAATGTCCGGAGACTCGTTAATTGGTGGTGCATTGTTAAGATCATTATGGATTTTCACAGAAACATCAGATTTTTTTAATGATGAACAAGTAGACACTGTTGTAGATGTTGAAACCCACTTTTCAAAAGTGTTTGCCAACTTCTCGTTTTCAATTTTAATTTTTTTTTTATTCTTGCGATTTTGAGCTCCACTATTCTTTCTCTTAAATGTTTCGGACATAATTACTTGATTCCTAAACCATTTAAGTTAAACAAAATTTAAGAACTGTGTTTGCAAGCAAAATCATTTTAAAAGTAATAAGACAGACGACATTGGCTAGTTATTATTGTGTAGAATTGTAGAAATAAATTAATGGTAGGTAGTTATACTTTATATTTATTTATTTACGCTAAAAATGATCAAAATACGTATGTTGTAAAAATGACAGGTCCCTATGATTATTTTGTACGGATAATGATAGGCCGTGATGCCTGATCACCAAAATACTTCGCGTTTGCGTCTCACTTCTACTCACCGACCGACCATCACGAATAACAACGACAATAAATTTATACTAAAAACGGCGATTCACACCCAATATAACGTACATCGTACATGATATTATATAACTCACAGATGACAATATGTTACATTGCTATAATTATAATAAAAAAAAAAAAACAATATAAATAACGAATAATGTGTTGTACATATTTGAGTGTGTAAGCCGGTTGGTGGCGGCGGAGTGATAGGCGGCGATTACCGATACGGCGATACCTATTATTATTCGTACCTATTAAGTATTATTATAAATTATAATAGTTCATTAGATTTTTAAGTTTAAAATAAACAACTACTTACCAACTTACAAAATGGATGTTCGGTTAGGTAGTCGGTTGTCCGATTGTGTCGTGTCGTACTGAGTCGTAGTGTTGTACTACTTGTCTACTTAATACTTAAACTCTTATAGTTGAATAATTGAGTGGCGCATGCTAACAGAGTATGATATTTGAACAAGACGTGCAGAATGATAGTGATAATTGCAGAAATGCAGACTGATGGCCAGTATAAATATAATAAATGTGTTCGTGTATAGCGTGTTTTGACTGACGAGTAATGGGACTATGGTCTATGGGAGCCGCGGTTGTCGGCTGCGGCTGGGATTTACCAAAATAAATGTTTATCACATATGCCATAGATACTAATAGACTGATTGCATAACGATAATTCAATTCCGTTACAACGTACAATGTTTTCGTAGAATATTCAATATGAAATCACAATAATAACAGTAGAAGAATAATTTTCAAATGCAAAAGATACTGAACATAGTAGGTACATGTACATACATTAAACTTATAATACAATTAGGTTTAGGTAATTTAATAGTTAAATATATTTTTTTAAGTAAGCCATTTTTGAATGCTCCCTAAGTACTATATTGGTAGAACAATATTTTAATTTAAAAAATGTATCAAAGTTTAGCGCCCCCATTTCATTGGCGCCCGAGGCAAATGCCTCAGTCGCCTCACCCTTGCTACGGCCCTGCGTGTACAGTGCACAGTGCACACAGGCACTTTCGAATTAGAAATTTGCCGATCGTAGGCGGAGGTATGCACATCACGCGAAGGTGCCTATAGAGAACCAAATATTATTATTAAACAAATATTAAGGAAGGTACATCGCATGAAGGTAATACGTTGATGGGTACCTACTACCTATATATAATTATATATTTATATGTATATACCTAATCGCATATATAAATACTAAATAGTATTATGTTTACCGGTGATCCTAGAGTATAAACATACGGTATGTTACATACCTACATATTTAACATGCGAGCATCGCCTGGACGACGATGATGAGCATATTTTTGTTCGTCGTGATGCTGTGCAATGCATTTTCACCTCGACGCATTTTCACCTTCAACGCTATTTGAGGACGATTTTCGGAATTTGATTATTATCACACACACCACGATGATTTTCCACCCTTATTATAGATGCATTAGACCGCATAAAAAAATAAATATTTATCAAGTTTCAACTGTCAACTATAGTAGGCAAGACGTAAATTTCATATACGTCTTACCTGAATGAATTCATTTTTGAAAAAACATTGTATTTGCATACCAATTGTCCAAAAATGATCTGTAATTTTTCGGTAAAAGTATGAATTAAATGTGTAAATGACTGTATTAAATTGTCTAGCCTTATCTATACACATTTAATATTTTATAAGTTTTGAACTACAAATTAATTGTGGTTTTGACAAAATTTGAACTTTAAATGCTTATAAAAAATAACCACGATGCCTATGTTAATATTTTTTATAATAAAAACTCAAGTATTAAATTGTTGAGCTTTTTGAGCGGATAAATAATTTTTTATTGACATTTATAGAAACATTTAAATTAATCAAATACAATTCAAGTGAGGATGGTATAACCAAGCTAGTTACCAAACAATTTTAATACATTTTCATTTTTTTCTCCAATTGTTTTAAAAAACACTGAGCTTTTTCAATTTCGACCTCTAAAAGTACGATTTGTTTCCAAAAACATACATCGGGCATCGAAGTTTATGATCAGGGCATTTTTTCTACCAGAAATGTTGAGAAGTTACAAACATTTTAAAATACCTCAAATAAACGTCTGAAATTATTAGACTGGACAATATAAAAATAAAATTGTAACTAATTTTCAAGCCCCCCCTCCCATTGAAAAATCCTGCGTATGCCACTGGATGCATTTCCATAACGCTAATAATAATATACATTACAAGGGGTAACATTCGCTATGAAATTCGTCAAATCATGCTGTGGAGGAGGATACCCACGAGTATGTCATCCTAACGCGTGACTTGCGAAGTTCCTACAAAAATCTTGATAAAAGATAAAAAAAACAATTTAAAAAATAATATTAATTCGTGTAAATCAGTTTCCGTAGGATTTGCAAGTTGTAATACTTACTATCTTACCATGATTCGAGAAGAAAAAAGTGAGAGGAACGTGTAATCAAACAAACTATGCCTAACAGTTCGATGAAGAATAATAGGAAAAAATAAATATTAATCGAAAGCACGATAAAATTATACTATAGATAAATTGCATCGGACCTACTGTCTGAGTTGTAAATTCCTGATCGTATATTATACAGTCGGTGAGCATGTCGTTGAGATCGACTGAGATCGACGAGTGGCGACTATACAAGATGAACTAGATATAATTTTGTAATAAAATAATACTCGTATCCTAAAAAGTGAATAAATCATTATTAAAGACACTATACTATCTCAGCTTAAGTAAAACACAATTGATTCAAAACTCTGAGATTTCTGTTTCAAAATCAAATATTCTCTTAGTTTTCATTATTTTTTTCCAAATCGTGTACTAAGTTATTTATAGTTTGCGTCAGTAAAATATAATATGAGTACCTAGTACCTACCTATATAATATATTATATATATATGTAAATATGTTATTTAGTGATTTGGACCGTTGCTGCAGTGACCGTAGAAAAAAAATACTTCTGAGACTACTCTGTGTCCGGAGAGCTTATTTCCATTCTAACGGACTCTATTAAGATTTGATTGTATTACTATTATTATTATCTTTACAGCGGACGAAAATAATAATTAATAGCCAGCTACACGCCACGAACCCGGACCGTGCAAATAGTGCAGATAGTTCCGTGTGAAGGGGGGAGAAAGAGGATACACGACGACATTACTACGTTTTATTTTTATTATTATTATTACTGTGCCAGGCCCAAATGGAGCTGAAAAGCGGTGGCGTTCATATATTATGTAGGCCGAGATCGCTCGCAGGGTCAAGTGCACATTTTCACCCGTGACCCGCAGCATCAACAGCTAGCAGCAGCCAACACTCACGATAACTCCGGCCTGGATAATGTACATAATAATCTCGCACTTGACAGATTATGAATATGTGTGTGTGTGTGTCTGTAGAACACTAAGCACTTAAAACGTTACCACTGCCAATTAGGTATTCTGTCGGTGGGCCGTTACCGCGCGTTTATTGTACGCATAACAATATTATCATCATCGTTTCGGGCGTAAGTAAAAACTACTTCAACTCTCCGTCGTCGTCCCGCCCATCAGCCCCAAAAAAAAAAATCAGACGAGTATTAATAATAATATATTCGTATACGTACAATATAGATAAATGATATTATGATATGCACGCTGAGAACGAGTTTGAAAAAAAAACATCGACGAGTAGACTGCTTGTGGGCCCCGATCAATTCCGTAGTCCGTAGTTCACCATGTTATAAAGTACCTATCCTAGTCACAAGACGATCAATCTTATCCTCGCATCAACGTGCCCCGTGAATATTTTACGATGCCAGTAAGCAGTGGAGTACAAGTGATGTTCGAATAGTATGGGGGTACTGATGAAAAACACCTAGATAATAATATTATAAACACCCCCCGGGTGTAATGCAAAAAAATACCAACCAATTTTTTTAAATCTAATCACCCATACTCCCCGTTCCGTCGTGCCAACAAATATTACAGAGAATTAAAAAACTGTTTTGGCATTAAAACGCGAATAGATAATATGCCATAATGACGCGAAACAAACAATTTATCAAAAGTACCTAATCAGATAAATACATTGTATTCTACTTACTTAAAATTTATAATTTCACCCATATGCATCGACAAATCGAAGAAAATCGTAAAAAAATGGACGAGAAAATATAAGAAACGAAAAATAAACATATTTTTATACCATCGTTTACATTAGCGTTATCGAGTGACATGCTGCAGGCTTATAAATATTATATCTGACACAAATAAACGATATGCAATGTTGTGCATAAACCATAAACGCCTTAACAAAATATGACCATACTAAGTTTTGCCCAGCTGCTTAGACTATACAAAACCAAATTGATTATTTAAAGTTATACATTGAGGAATAAAATATAGGTTAACATAATATTATGTGATTTGAAATTGTAGCGTATCTTCTATCTGCGTTGAGCATAGATTCGATTATTTTATTGATTTTTATTTTATAAAAAATCTCATCGTTTTACGACACCTGTATAAAGTACGATAACGGATAACCATTTTATAAAATTAAAAATCTACTATAGTGTACTACGTGTGCATATTTCGTATATATAATAAATACTAAATAGCCACTCTGATCTAAACTTATAATATGTATTAGGTAGTTAAAGCAGTGTAGATAATATTATAATT